CTACCTTTTTTCATTTCTATATATTCTATTTTCCTCCATAGGGTTCAGTGTTTTCCTTATAGGTTTCCTCATGTTTATTTATTTTCTGAGTATTTCTAATGTCTGTCTGCATTCTGGACCGGACGTCCCAGAATGACACCTTTGACCCAAACGACTAGGAATTTGCTCAGACATGAAACATATGTTAGATGTTTTTTTTTAGCAATTTAATGGGAAATAAAAAAGAAAAACAAGGGCCTCCTTCATGACACATTTTCAGTTATATCATAATATCTCAGGTGAATTCACGTAAAGATGCTCTGCCTTCTTGTCAGATGTAGGGCGCTGAGCTGGGTGGCAGTGAATGGAATCTTAATTGAATAGACCAAATGTCTGACCTTTATATACAAAAAAGTTCTTATTTATATGTGAAACTGGGAGAAATACTTCAATAAAAAGACAATGATTTAAAAAAATATTTACCGCTGTCATTAGAAACGTATTTCCTGTAAACTGAAAGTCCTGCTGGTGAAGTCTGCAGTGTTTCACTGTAAACCTCATAAATGGGGCACTTTGTGAAGGATCATCTGAGTTCGTCTAACACCCAAGTTTTATCTCAAATTCATGTTTGATAAATCAACATAAAAACCTTTATTTAATCCTGTAATAATTCTCTAACAGCCCAGCTCCAGTTTCACTTCCACTAAAGCTGATATTCTAAATGAAGCTGGCAGGAGAGCAAAGGTTCAAAATGCAAAAGCCTTCTCGCCATCAGTGATAAAAGTGTTCAACCTCGGTACCAGAACCGTCTTCTGGATGCTGGACTCACCTGATCGCAGCGACGCCACCGCCTGGCTCTGAGCTGACAGCAGAGAAAGGCGACTGCTGGAGTCCTGAAGGAACGACGATGACGTCATGGGGTAAAAGTTGGCCTGCAGGGGGAGCTTCTCTAAGGTGCGGCGCTGCTGCATCTGTATCAGTGACCAATCAGACGTCAGCAATCAGGCAACCAATCTCAACTCTCTTCACTTTCTGTCTGATAAAAAATATACTTTTGGTTTTTAAAAGCTTAAATCTTCCGGCTCCTTCTTATTTTTCTGATCTCCAGCATAGTTTTCGTCCTGGTAGAGCTCTGCTGGAGGCGGACCCTCCAATGGTGATTAGGAGACACCAGGAGAGTCTGGAGGAGACTGAGCCTTCTTAGCTCCCTCTGTAAGCTCTGCCAGAACTCTTAAAGGTCTTATATCCTGCAAATATGAACCTCTGATGGTTTGAATCTTCCTAAACTATTATTCTGACGGCAAAGACTTCCTATTCAGTTACTTTGGTCATTCTACTCTGTTTAAGTAATCCTTAACACTAGTTAGGCTACTTGGCAGTATATATCGACCGATACAGGATTTTAGGCCGATCGTCGATATGTGCTGCTGATATTTTTGGGTTTATTCCTGAAGCCTATATTGCTTTTTATTTCTCCATTTACACGATAAAAGATAAGAGTGATTACAAATTTTGCACAAGTAATAATTTAAGCAAAAAAATGGAAAAAAGACACAAAAAAACAATTATTGTTTTTATTTATGTTTTTACTGATTAACGCTAAATTAATCAAATCAACTCAAACGTATTAATTTTATTCATAAATAATGATCCATTGATTATTCCTTGCTAACCGTACTTTTCCTTTAATGCTAACATGATGCTGTGCTAGCTAAATGCTAATACGCGCTTGTGCTAGCAGCTTCCAAATGGAAATCCAACCGACTTTCTTCCAGCTTGGAAAAACAACACTACAAAACAAGTAATAATTCATAGAAATAAATATTTTTAGTTCAAGAAGGCAGTATTTCATCATATGTATGCCTAGAGTTGATTTTAGGTGGTATAAAAAAAAAGCAGGATGTTTAAAGTACCTTTAATGAATTGAAATCTTAACACTTTTTATGTTATCATAGTTTGAGCTGGTATTTGTAGTTTGCTCTGCAAAACAATTAAAACTGGCAATAATTAGTAATTTATTAACAGAGTGTGACATCACACTAAGGGAAGCTCCTGATTGGTTGGACTGAATGCATGTCGAAGTTAAAGCCGATAAATCAAGAAAAGGTTAAAAACCTGGAATCCATTGAGATCGGTATAGAAACGGTTGCCGCTGGCGACGTCGCTGATGAGTCGCATCACCAGTTCCTTGTTGCTCTCGGACCTGATGTCAACCGTGTTGGAGATTTCCAGGGATTTCCCAGCATGCCCTGCAACACAAAGGAGGCTCTTATTGTGAAAATACAGATGAAAAAAAACAGCAAAAAAAGACCTGCTTTAATGTTTATTTTAAGCGAATACCATCCAGGTGGTAGAGCCGCACTGTGTGCGTGAAATGTGGGAAACAGGAAGTGATTTCAGAGAAGACTGGACCTCTGGTCACTCGTACGAGGGGGGGTTCAGATGGCGAGTAGACCTGCAGGGAGCGAGAGACATTCAGGTTAAATCAGAGAACAGAAGGAGAGGGAGAGAAGCAGCTCTGGTTTGATGACTCACCTGAGGCCCCTCCACCCCAGGCAGGAATAAATACGCTCCACTCTTCTCCCCCGAGGTTCTGGTCCCGTACCACAGGAACTGAACCTGGACCTGACGGACAAGACCAGACTGCAGGCGGAGCTTCTGTTCTCCAAAAACAAACGGAAAAAAAACAGGTTAAACCGCTTCTCCTCAGCTTCCTTTCATCAGGCTTTTATTTTGAAGAGTCTGACCTGCAGCAGGCCAGTTTCTGGCGAGCTCCATATCTGAAGGTGCTTGTTTCTGAGTGAAAGAGGGGCGTTGGCTTCAGCTCCTTCAAGCCGAGTCATCTGGAAGTGCTCCGACTGGACGGTTGGCGGTTTGCCATGACGATGGATGATGTAGCGCGCCCGAGGGACGGAGCGGCCAGGCGCTTTGATCACATGATACACAACAAGCGACAGAGGAGGAAGTTCAGCAACAAAGGAGAGCTGAAAGGAAGGATCAGAGGAGGTTAAAGAGAGCTACAGTGATCAGAAAATAAATCAACCAATCATTTATCACCTGAAATGCTTGTGAAGAAACTTTGCTTGGCTCCTCCCACACAGCAGAGATCTGAGCTGCTAATGGTAGACCCGTTTCCGCATCAACAACTCGAGCATCTGGAGAATCGACGACCAGGTTGACGACAGTAGTTTGAAGTTGCTCCGTCGGGTTAAATACAACCAAAGACCTGCAACGAGCCACAACAATAAATACCGAAGCCTGACTTTATCCAGGTGAGGCGAATCTAATGTGCTGCTGTTCACCTGGGCTCATCACCAAGCGTCAGTGTCGTCTTCTGAGGCAGAGCATCCTGGGCAGATATCACCTCACTCTGTAAAATGTTGAAATGTATTTCCTTAAGGTTAAAACACTTCATTGGGTGAAATCAGGTGAGGTCAGCAGGTAAAGGTGAGCAGCACCCAAAGCAGCAGCCAGACTTCACCACAAAGTTTGACACATGGAGAATCAAACTGATGTCATCAATAAAATCAATCTTTACAAATTAAAAGATGTAAGGTAAAGGTTAGGTCACCATTTCTAAGAAGGATTTGGATTGGTCTTTGTGGTACTGGCTCTTATCCAATAGCAGCAGCCAGTGGGCGGAGCTTAGCAACACCTGGCGAAGGTTCAGGATGGAGCGAAACAACCTGCAAAGAGAAACCTTCAGTCAGATTTAGCTGATAAATCTTTCTAGTGCTGGTTGAGTGAAGTTCACAGAGCCACTGCTTATTAACGAAGTTGATATTTTTAACCACAAATATTGACGTAACAAAGATGATCTTTTTTTTTTTTCTATGGATACTGAAGTCAGGAGGGTCTGTACAAACCAGGAGGAGCGTCCGAGGCCTCATTACCGAGACAGAAGTTTAAGCTTAGGGGGACATCTGGCTAAAGGACCCTGGAAGGTCAGCAAGAGAGCCGAGAGCCTTCCAGGGAAATCAGTCATCAGACTAAATGTTGCCATCATTATTATATATGTACGCTGGCCGATGTGTCTAGAGGGCGGCCATCTTAGATCAGACCACAGTTCAGACAACTCCTGACAGGATGAATAGGAGGTGCCTTAGATCTCGTTTTAATCACACGAACGACGAGTCAAACATAATATTACAATAATCTCATACATTTTTTTTTTCACACACATTAACTGACTAGTTAGACACTATGGAAGCTCATTGGTAGAATTCCCTTATGACAGAAAGAAGGCCACGATTCACACCAT